GGACCGTTCTAAGTGATAATCTCTCTGCTTCCCCAGTTAGGTTGAGATGCTGTGCAGCTGATGTCAGAAGAATGGTACGCTGGGAGCCATCGTCAAGTACTGCATATGTTTCAAGGGTTCTTTTGCCATTTCGCAGGAGCACTTTCACGACCTTTAAAAGGACACTAGGACAATCACTAGGTCTATCAAAGTATAGCGTCCTCACTACAGGATGAGTGTCAGTTTTAGATCTCTTATTTACATCGCATAGGATCTGGAGATGTAGTCCCATACAGGTGGCACATGCTTTCTTCAGGTCACACTTTGCGGCCTGATGATTCCTAGCACAACGCCAACACCGTTTGTTTACTTTTATCCAGTTTGTTTTCTCATCCTTTGTCTTCTGAATAAACCCAGGACACTTACTAATGTGATGTTCTGGTGAGCAGCAATATGCACATGTAGCCTTAGTTGTCATGATCGGCTGTGTTGCATGTACAGAATCATCAGATGTATTTGCTTCATGTAATATTGTTGTAAGTGGAGAAGCGTACTTACGGGCAGGTCGTGGCTGGTTGAAGGATGAAACAGGACTGGCCTTCTTTGGTTGACACCTGCATTCCATTTGCAACCAGGATGAGAACAAAGGCAAGGTATACGTCATTTCTCCCTGTTCCCTGTAAACATGCCGTTTGAAGCGACTGAAATGCTCTGCAGGCAACTTCACTAACAAGCGATCGACATGGGAGCCACAGTCTAGTTCTGCACGTCCTTGTTCTCCCATAGTGCTAAGCAACCCAACTAAAGCCTGTACTCGAAGAGCAAAATTATCAAGGCTCTGACCATCACCTGCTCTGATAGGAGGCAGTTCCAGTATATTCTTTAGCTCTTTCAATGCCAGCTGTCTTGGTTGCCCATAACGCTCATCAAGGGCTTTGATGGCTTGAGTGTATGGGTCAGGAGCGTAGGAAAAGGCAAGAGCTAATCGTTTAGCTTGGTCTACTTTGAGGTGATCAAGAAGGACATGATATTTGAAGTGCTCTGTCTCATGAGGATCAAGAAGGTTTGTAAGGGCCATCCGTAACATCCTGTATTGCATTTCGTCTTCTCTACTAAGGTCTGGAAACGAAGGACCTTCAAGCTTATATACATGTGTTCTCGTGCTAGAGGAGTGACCCGAGCTAGCAGTACCAGATATCAAAGGTTTCTGTTCATATGAGGCATTGGATGTAGCTGGTTGCTGCTCTAGAGGAGGGCAATATTTGTGGTCAGATATGCGAATGAGAGGTTGAACAGGGTCTTCCGCTAAAGGAACAGCAGGTTGAACACATGAGATCTGGTGGGGATCCTGCCGTGATAAGGCCAGGAAATCAAAGGGGGTCTCATCTTCTGTAGCAAGGACTGGTCTAGGCAAACCAGTGGAAGGGATTGCAGCATCTAGTATTGTTGCATTAGGTACGGGAGGGCTGGCAGCTGCAACTAGGCCAGGCTGACGGCTAATCTGCGGGGGCTGGATTGGTGATTGACAGGTTGCTGTATCAGTTACTGGGAGCTGCTCAGGTTGTTGATGTGTTTGAAGACTGGCTCGTATACTGCATACAGAAGCTTTGATTCCCTCAGATGAGACTGTGCGAATGGAAGATCTGGAGCTACGAGAATGGGAAGGAGATGATTGAATCATAAATTGCTTAATCTCCCTCATGGTCGTTAGGAGTTCCCTCATGACCTCATCTTGGGTGGTGGGTAAAGGAACAGGGGATGTCTCTGGTGGTCTTTCTGACTCTCCGACAGGATCCTGCAGCCCATGTGTGTCTTTATCACTGTGCTGGCATTCAGTTTGGCTCTCTGTCTCACATGTAGCTCTTCTAGCTCCAGGGTACTGAACTTCATACTGTTGCAGGTAGGCAGGAGGTCTACTATCACGACTGGATCTTCTCAAACCTTCAGTAAATGGCTGCTGTGTATCCATGATGCTAATACCTCTCCGGCTCGGAGGACCATGTTTTGAAGGGAGGGAGGTTCAGGGCGGAAGCAATCAGCTTCATGGGCTCATCCGGTTAGAATAAGAAAAGCAGCCATCTAATGCAGAATTATTTTCAGGGTACTCCTTTTATTCTCAAATAAATAAGGCAAAAAAGGAAGGAAACAAAGACACACATGGACTGCCAATGCTGAAAGAAAACAGAGATTCAAGTTACTCATTACCTTAACATTACATAAAATAAAAACCCAAACAGAACCTCACCTCAGCTGCCGCCCCGTGTGGAAGTGAGGAAAGAGTGAGCCAAAAGTGAATGCAGTCCTTATGTACTGTGTGACATATAATGTGTGACAGGTGAGTGCAATCAAGGACAAGCACCACACCCAATCAAAGGTGAGAGAACTAAACAAGGTGCATCTGGTGAAGTGAGTGGGTGTGCTGGGATGTGCTAAAAGGTGGGTCTCTACAACAATTATTAAGACCCAACACTAATCAGAAAAGTCCCTATGAGCACATACGCCACGTATGTGCTTTTCTGTCCCTATGAGTTTTTCCGTTGTACTCTTGCCACAAGAGCACAACGGAAAAACTCACTGTTAACAGAAACACCAGAACCAGGCTCAATCTGACCGACCGCTGAGGGGCTGAGGGGGCGGAGACGGGACCAAAGACACAGATTAATGGTTAAATACAGAGTGGTGTATAAATATAGGCCTATTGCACGGAGAATTCAAGGTCATCTAACACAGCCCTGTGGGCTTTATCGAAAAGGAAGAGAAGCCAGTGTGGGCAAAATCTGCTCTCTCTAGTCCCCGTCAGTATGCTCACTGCGGCATTTTGGATTAACTGAAGGCTTTTCGGGCAGTTTTTAGGACATCCTGATAATAATCAATCACAGTAGTCCAGCCTGGAAGTAAGACAGAGCCTGATCTTGTATGATCTCTCTTGTCGGTCAAGAAGTTGAAACTATTCAAGGTTCATCTGTAAGTTTCAAAATCTCACCCATCGCACACCCAGAGAAAACCTACACAATTAATAATGCCTTCACTGCAAGTCACCTGGCACTTTCAGACCACACCTACCCTGTATCATCTCTCCAGCGGAGATACAAGCATCTTCAAGGTATCCCATTACCCATCATTAATCAAGCAGCGCCACTCCTGCTCATAGGCTCAGATCATACTCACCTCATCACGCCTACTGCTCCATTGAGACAGGGACCATATGGGTCTCCTGCAGGTGTTAAAACCCAATTAGGATGGACACTTCAAGGTCCGATCACAGATTTTCAGCCCCAGAGCAGTACAGAGCATGTGCAGTGTTTGTTTACATCTCTCAGTTCATCTGCAGATGTACTGCGTTATCATGTCGAGAAGTTATGGTAGCTAGACACTTTACCTGAATACAGTGAGAAATCTGTGATCCGATCAAAGCAAGATCAACTGGCACTGGAACTCCTTGAACAGGCCACAAAAAGGGTTGAGATCAATGGTGTTAATCGCTACGCCACTCCTCTTCTTCGGATGGCAAACTTTCCTCCTTTGAATGTCCCTCCAACTGTAGTCATGTCTAGACTCCGCAACACTGAGGCTTGGTTAGCTAAAGACCCTGACAAAGCAATGTCTTACAAGGATCAGATTTTGAAATTGGAGCAAGCAGGATATATAGTCAAACTTAGCCCAGACTGGAGATACATCAATTCAGCCACAAATCCTGCTGATGATGTTACGAGAGGTAAATCCCTGAAAGAGTTCCTTAGCCCAAACAGGTGGACTGAGGGTCCCTCGTTTCTGCATGAACCTCCGAATAACTGGCCCACAGTTACAGATCTCCATCCTGATGATGATCAGACTGAGTTAAAGAAATCCTACTTTTTTGGTATTGTCAGTATACCCTCCCATACATACACACCTAGCTTCAGAACCTATCAAGAGCTATTGGATTTCACGGCTCGTTCACTCTCCAACCAAAAGGGTAACATTCCTTCTGTAGCTGATTATCAAACAGCAGAACAAGAAATCCTTCGTCAGGCACAACTGGACAGTTTCGGCGAAGATTTAGCCCGTTTACAGTCAGACAAACCCCTCTCATCCGACAGCCGTCTATTGTGTTTGTCACCAGTGTTGTGCAGGAATTCTGGATTTATCCATGTAGGAGGCCAACTACGGCAAAGCCCAGACTTGGAATTGAATGTCATTCACCCAATAGTACTTGATCCTGCTCATCCAGTGACCAAACTGATCATACAAAATTATGATGACAAACTGCATCATGCTGGTTCAGAAAGACTTTTTGCTGAACTACGTTGGAAATTCTGGATTCTCAGAGGAAGGGAAGCCGTACGCAGGCATCAGTATAGCTGCGTCGCATGTCAGAAATGGAGAGCACAGCCCATCATTCCAAAAATGTCAGACTTGCCTGCTGCTCGTCTTAGGTTATTCAAACCACCTTTCTACTCCACAGGAATAGACTGCTTTGGACCATACAAGGTCAAGACCGGCCGCAGATCGGAGAAAAGGTGGGGAATAATATTCAAATGTCTCACCACTCGGTGCATACATCTTGACCTCCTGAACAGCATGGATACCGACTCCTTCTTCATGGCCCTCCAACAATTCATTTCTCGACGAGGAACACCCCTGGAAATCATATGTGATCAAGGAACTAACTTCAAAGGAGGAGATAAGGAACTACGGGCAGCTTTTAACAACCTTGCTCCGACTCTACAGCCGGTCCTGATGACTAAAAGAATCCATTTCAAATTCAATCCCCTGCATGCACCCCATTTCGGTGGAGCCTGGGAGAGGGAGATACGTTCTGTGAAGAATGCTCTGAAGAGAACCATTGGTGCACAGATGGTCACTGAAGAGGTCTTAAGAACAGTCCTAATTGAGATTGAAGGCATTCTGAACTCAAAACCCCTAGGCTATGTATCCTCAGACATTGCGGATATTGATCCCATAACCCCAAACCTTCTCCTTATGGGCCGACATGATTCATCACTCCCCCTGGTATCCTATTCTGATTCTGACCTCCTAGGTCGACGACGATGGCGACATGCACAAATATTGGCAGATCACTTCTGGCGGCACTTCATAAAAGACTATCTACCATCCCTCCAAAGAAGACACAAATGGCAGAAGGAAAAACCAGATCTCACATTGAACTCTGTCGTAATGATCACGGATTCACACCTTCCACGTGCCCTTTGGCCTGTAGGAAGAGTGACACGCTTGCTGAAAAGCCCAGATGACCGCATCAGAACTGTGGAGGTCTTAGTACAGGATAAAACCTATATCCGCCCTGTCTCCTGTCTGATCCCCCTGCCCTCGCTTCCTGAAGAAGACTGATCCTGATCATATCAACATATTTCTCACTAGAAATATGGGGGCGGCTGTTGTAGAGACCCACCTTTTAGCACATCCCAGCACACCCACTCACTTCACCAGATGCACCTTGTTTAGTTCTCTCACCTTTGATTGGGTGTGGTGCTTGTCCTTGATTGCACTCACCTGTCACACATTATATGTCACACAGTAATAAGGACTGCATTCACTTTTGGCTCACTCTTTCTTCACTTCCACACGGGGCGGCAGCTGAGCTGTGGCAGTCCATGTGTGTCTTTGTTTCCTTCCTTCTTTGCCTTATTTATTTGAGAATAAAAGGAGTACCCTGAGAATAATTCTGAATTAGATGGCTGCTTTTTCTTATTCTAACCGGATGAGCCCATGATGCTGATTGCTTCAGCCCTGAACCTTCCTTCCTTCAAAACAGTGATACTCTGTGATTTCCAGGCCAAAACAGAACTTCTCTTGCTCTGCGTCCGCAGCGCTAAACAAGTGACCGTCGTGAGTGTGCTTTAGCTTTCTGCTCTCAGCGCCGCAGGAACGATGAGCTGCTGTCCTTTGAACAGAACTCCACCCACTACTGAAATCTGTTCCCTGTAGTTCCAGTATGACTGAATGTATTTTGCAGCTTGTTGTTCGATCCAGAACTGTCTCTGTACGTTTAGTCACAATCACATCACTCCTAGTTTCCTTTCTGAATTCTTCTAGTTTTGCACTTGACACAGGTAAGATCATCGTGTTCACCTGAGCTTCTATGTCATCATCAGGTGAGCTGGTCACTGGTAGATTATCTCTGGATAACATGTCTGTGATGTAAATGGTAAATGGACTGATTCTTATATAGCACTTTCTTTCTACACTTAGTGATTCCTAACTCCATTCAGACACAGAGCAACTTGGGGTTAGTATCCGCCCAAGGATACTTGACATGCAGACTGAACCACTAACCTTGTGATCAGTAGGTGACCTGCCCCTCCCTCCTGAGCTAAAGCCCCCCCTCCATGTGATGTACATTTCCTTTCCTGGCTTGTACTGAACCTGTACCTGACATTTTTGCAGTCTCATTAGGAGTCTGTATTCCTAATGAGGCTGTACATAGTAGTTTCTGATCTGTCTCCACGTTCACTTCTCTTCCATATTCGTACTGATGGAAACGTTCTGCACTGCTAGCATCTCTTTCTCTCTTTGTGCGTAACGCTGCTCAGTTCGTCAGTGAGTGGATGGGTAAGCAGCTGGATGGTCATCTTGTAGTAAGACAGCACCGAAGCCACTTTTGGAAGCATCGACGGATTGTGTTACTGGAAGCTGTACGTCATAGTATCTGAGTACCGGGCTTCCACATGAACTACATCTGAATCAGTAACTATTCATACCTATCATGACACTGACCACAAACCGTCCCCCTGTTATTTTGTAGTACTGGTAGTAATATTTATAGCAGTATTTGTAGTACTTTTGTTTGTTTTGATTGTTTCAGAGTTTGAGGGTTCAAAGGCCGGGTCCTCCAGTCTGCAGCCCAGGCTCCCCCAGTACCCCACTGGTCAGATACTGATGAAGCTTGTTTCAGTGAGGGGTCACAGATCAGAAATGATCAAAACTACAAACATGAATATTTCACCCTGCAGACCAGCAGTGGTGAAAAAGCGGAGGGCGGAGCTTGGTTTGCCTGCGAGTCTGAAGCGGCGTCATCACTAACGTGTTGGTGAGCGCCATGGCTCAACTTCCATCGGCACACCTCTGAACAGCTGTGACAGTACGCACGCTCATTTTAACATTCAGCAGAGCTGATCTTTGCCTGCCAATCCAACCAAGTACACCTTCAGGACCTCCGGTTGTTCTGCTGCTCGGCCTGCAGGGGGCGGCAGAGAGCCACGCTGCTTTCACAGGCTGTAGGGAATTGGAAACTCCAACAGAAACCAGATTAAAGCAGGAGTGAAACAGCGAGCTGAAGCTTGGAACAAGAAGAATAGATGCCTTTGTTTTTTCCTGCATTATAAATCAAGCGCTGCTTTCTCTTACAGTCTGATATCTGTCATCAACCTGTGGGAGCCTCATGAATGTCTCCGCCTCCATCACCTGCTGCCCCGCAGGACCAACTCAAGTTTTATTAATAGGGCTGTCAGATGTGTACCAACCTGACCTCTGACAACACAGCTGATGGTCCCAACCCCATTAAGAAGGGAAGAAATTTCACCATTGAACCCGTGTGAAAGGCACACCTGTGAGGTGAAACCATGTCAGGTGACTACATCATGAAACTCACTAAAAGAAGAACGAGGGTTTGCAGCGCTGTCAACAAAGCAAAGGGTGGAATCTAAAACATAAAACATATTTAGAGTTATCTCTCATTTTTTCTTTGCTGCATAACGCCATATATCTAAATATATTTGATGTCTTCAGTTTGTATCTATAATGTAAAAAGTAGCAAAAGTTGACATGAGAAGGTGTGTCCAAACCTTGACTGGCAGTGCAAAAGGGAATTTGTGCTTAAATTGAAATTACATTTTTTTTCTTAAAGAAATGGTTTAGTTCATGTAATTATTCTATCACGTGTCATTTTCATTGCAAATATTAATCACTGTTGAATTAAATGCAGTTCCAGCTGTAGAGGAGGTCCGCACTCCCGTGTGAACGAAGTACCGACTGGAACGGACAAGCACGCGAGTACGAACATGCGTACTTGAGTATTAATGCACGGCTCTCATCAATGAAGTCTAACTTTTCCGAGCACTCTTGAACGCAGCAGAGGGATAACGCGTCAGACCGGCTCGCAGCGCACGCTCGTCGGAGATAGTCTATTGAAGCAACACGAGCCACTACGTCACAGCGTCACGGACACTGTCCCACTCAAACGGAGACCCACATAGACTGCGCGTGCGCCGGTGTCCCGGTATAGGCTCGGAGTGAGGCCTCTGTCGGCTGCTCTCCGAGCTTCGTACGTTCAGCGGGCCTCTGCTCTCATGTCTCCCCGGCTGTTGAGGCTGGTTTCCGGCTCGGACTCTGCGGTTCTCTGACTCCCTGTTCGCGGTGTATTGGTTCTCGGATGGCGGCGATGCTCTGGCTGGGAGCGGCGGCGACCGTCTTCTGCCTGGTGCCCGGCTCCCTGGGAGGCGCAGGCCGGCTCTACACTGAGGAGGACCCGCTGGTGATCCTGAGCAGCGACAGCCTGAAGTCCGCCGTCACTAACTCGTCCTCGGCCTGGCTCATCCAGTTCTTCTCGTCCTGGTGTGGACACTGCATCCAGTACTCCAGCACATGGAAGGCTCTGGCCCAGGACGTGAAAGGTACTGCTGCGAAGATACTGTTCCCCGTGCGTTCGGGTCAAACCAGACTCTATTCAAAAATATGCTGTTTACATAGTGTCCGTTAATCGGTGAAAATAGGACCAAATTTTAAGCATAGTCTGAGTGCTTTCCGATGACGTCAGATCTCTGTACCTATTCGGCGTTAAAACAATTAACAATAAACTTATCAGTTGTTTATTTTTAGCTCATTTTCCTGCTGCTAGCTCGCTCTTGTAAACGTTTTCGGTTGTTCAGAGAAACTTAAATGTAGCGTTTATTTCAATGGGGTTCTGAATGGCAGGGAGACTCCGTGTGTGGACGTGCTGGGACAGGTAAATCGTTCAAACTACAGACCGAAGGAAGCGACATCCCGGGATGAAGGTGTGCTAACGATGAGGGCAGCTGGGGACACAGCGTCAGGTGCTAACGACAGGTAGCCAACAGTGCGAGGGACTCAGGTGTGTCCCTGCTGAGTGGAACAGACTCGGTAACAACGGTTTAAGGGCTTTAAAGGCTGTCAGTTCAAAGGTCACAGCTAAAAGCTGAAATGACTGCAGAGATACTGATCAGTATTTGAGACTCTTGATTTGTGTTATGATGTGTTTGGTTATTGATCAGCGATTGGCTGCACTGATTGGAAGCCAGTGAG